CACCGGTGGCGGCTTCGTGCCGGTCATAGGGCGGATTGCCCAGGCAGACGATGACCGGCACGGTGCTTTTCACTTCGAGCGCGCGGGCGTGCTGCGCCGCGATGGGGTGCAGGAACAGCGGCAGTTGCGGCGTTTCGGCGTGCGGGCTTTCGAGGGTGTCAGTCAGGTAAACGTGCGTGCCGTCCGCGGGCAGTTGCGCGCCGCGGTCGCGCAGAGCGCGGCTGACGCGCAGTTCCGCCACCGAGTAAGCGCCGACCATCAGCTCGAATCCATACACGTTATCAGCCAGCGCGGTGGCTTGGCCCGCCACAGCGCCCGCGCCCTGCTCGGCCTCAACGCGGGCGAGGGCGTGCTCGATAACGCCGAGCAGATAGGTCCCGGTGCCAACCGCCGGATCAAGGGTGACGACACCAGGGTCGGCGAAACCCAGCGGTTTACCCAGGCGATGAACGAGCAGGTCATCGATCAGGCGCACCTGGGCGCGTACCACCTCGACCGGAGTGTAGTAGACGCCGGCGTCCTTACGCAGCTTGGGATCATAAACGGCCAGGAAATCCTCGTAGAAATAGAGCCAGGGGTCATCGCCGGGAGCCGTCAGACCGCGGCGGGCGGCACCACCGCGATGACGCGCAGCAGCAGATCGAGGGACGCGGCGATGTCGGCGCGGGCATTGGGGTCCGTCAGAACTTGCAGGGCGCGCGCCAGCAGGTTGTGCTGGGCGGCGAGCGCAGCCTCGGCGCTTTCGAGCGTAAACGTATCGGCGGTGTCTTCGCTGCGACCCAGCAGCAACGCAAAGGTCACGGTCTGGGCGTAGGCGTCGGCAAACTGATCGTCGGATGCGTCGGGAAAGAGGAGCTGCCGCCAGTCCCGCGCCAGTTGCACCAGGGGCGAAGCCGGCCGCTTGAGGGCATCGGTCACGTCGTCACGCAGCATGCGACACAGGGGGGCGAGCAGTGCGGCAAAGCCCTTGAGATCAATTTTGCCCGTTCGGTCGGTGGGGACGAACGGCTGCCACGAGAGAAAATCGCGCAACAGGCGTTCGACGGCGTGCGCGTCCTGAAGCGTGGTCGCCTGGCTGCCGTCGGCGGCAACGTCGCCCGACAGACGCACGACCCGGTCCACAGGTTTGCCGTCTCGGTAGAGCGCCCATTCGTTGCCGTCGGTGTAGAGAATGTTCGGGATGGCCGAGAAGCGCTTGAACTGGTCGCGGTTATGGCCCTTGAACCGGCTGGCGGTGGCACCAACGCCGGGCGCCTTGATCTCGACGTATCCAGCCAGCAGTTGGTTGAGATGCACGGCGTAATCCGGGCGCCCGAGGCGGTCGGGCAGGGGTGTTTCACCCGTGCAGACGACGTTCCAGCCTAATGTCTGGGCGGCAGCGGCCATGAAGGTCTCGAACGGGGCGCGTAGCTGGTCTTCCGGTGAGCCCGTGGTCACCTGCGCCATTTTGGCCGTCACCGTGCTGGCCAACGTTTGCAGGGCTCTGTGAAGTGGGTGCTCCGGTCGGGTCTGTGGCATGGTTGAACGTAAGCCTTTCATGCTGATGGCCAGGAATCACCTGGGGCTTGCTGCCCACATAAAAGGTATTGGAAGTAAGTCCCCAGGCCGTCACTCCCGGCGAAAGAACGTCACCCGGACTTGATCCGGGGTTAAGCCCGGAATGGCGCTTTGGGGATTATACCCCGGCTCTCGTGCGTGGCGGGGGCTTTGCAGGGTGCCGGTTATCATGTATTCTAGGCACCACTTGAACGATAGGGAAACGTGGGGAACCCGTGGCAACCGTGCGCGTGATGTATTGGAAAGAAGTCCCGGTGCAAGTCCAGGCCGAAGACGACGACGGCCAGGTCTCCAAACCACTGCACGAGCGCTTTCAGCAGGGCGTCGACGCCATTTCGATGTTCGACGGCAGCAGCGGCAGCGACGACTACCTGATGGCCTGGGAGTGGGGTAGCGAGACAGAAGTTGAAGGCAGTGCGGAAGAGGCCGCCGCAGCGGTAGCGAAGCGTTACAACAACGGTTTCCCCCAGGATTTTGCGGCCCGTATACGCGATTTGAATTCAGCTGGCCAGCGCGACCCGCGTCCGGGCGCCGCCGACCACTGGATTGAATAGGAACTTGCGGAGAAAATTGGATATGCCCGAAACCGATACCGCACCGCTGACCATCCCGGAACGCTTGGCGCAGGGTGGTTTCCTTATTTCGGACGGCGCCACCGGGACCTACCTGCAGCAACACGGGCTGGAGCCGGGCGGTTGCCCGGAGGAGTTCAACGCCACGCACTCGGATGTCGTCAAGGGCATGGCGAAGGCGTACTTCGATGCCGGCTCCGACATGGTGCTGACCAATTCTTTCGGCGGCAGCAAGTTCATGCAGAAGAAATACGGTTTCGGGGACCGCGTCCGCGAGTTCGACCGCTTGGCGGCAGAACACGCCCGCAGCCAAAAGGCCGGCGGGATGCTACGTGATCGGCTCCGTGGGGCCGACCGGCGAGTTCCTGGAGCCGCTGGGCGAGGTCAGCGAGGCAGAAATGTACGACGCCTTCGTCGAGCAGATTACCGCCTTGGAAGAGGGTGGGGCCGACGGCGTCGTCATCGAGACCATGACTGCCGTGGAGGAATCTGCCCTGGCCATCAAGGCCGCGCGCGAGCATACCAACCTCACCGTGATTGCCACCATGACGTTCGACAAAGGGCCGCGCGGCTTTTTCACCATGATGGGGGTGACGCCGGAGCGGGGGGTCAAGGAATTGGAAGGCGCTGGCGCCGACATCGTCGGGGCCAATTGCGGCAACGGTATTGACGTGATGGTCGAGTTGGCGCGTGAGTTGCGGGCAGCCACCGACGGCTATCTGCTCATCCATTCCAACGCCGGCATCCCGGCGATCAAGGGCGGCCAGATCGTCTATCCCGAAACCCCGGCTTACATGGCCGAACGCTTTGAAACGCTGGTGCGTGACGTGGGCGTCAACATCGTGGGCGGCTGCTGCGGCACGGCGCCCGATCATATCCGCACGCTCGTTGAGACTCTCAGAAGGAAGACATGATGGCTGAAGCAAAGGCTGCGTCGAAACCGCGCGTTGCCGACGTTCTTGAACAATACGGCAAATGCCTGGAACTCGTCCCGATGGACCCGAATTTCGGCGACATCAGCGTCGGCTTGTACGTCAAGGATGGCGTCTTCACCATCTGGACCTTCAGCCGCAAGCCCGGCGTGGAGACGCGCATCGAGAAAATCCGCGATCAGTTCGTCGCCATCGGCGGCATGAAGCCAGTTGAGGGCACCTACAACCAGGCCATACCGTCGTGCGGCCAGTTGCACATCAGGCCGGTCAAGTTCTTGCTCAACCAGGCGGTTGGCAAGGCGCCGGATTTCGCGCCGCCGCAGGGCGAGATGTCGATCAAGGACTCGAAATCGCCGCTGCTGCTCAAGATTGCCGGTGAGGAGCAGGACGGCAAGTGGCTGTACGGGGTTTCCGGTGAGGGCGAGGCGCCGAACCCGATGGTGCGGCTGCGCATGGTGGTCGCCGGTTTCATGCGCTACGGCGGGATGAACAAGGTCAGCGACACGCAGGTCATGTTCCCCTGCGGCGCACGCCACGACGAGTTGGCCCGGTTGCTGTTGCCGTATTCCCGTAACATATCCAGCGTTGAGGGCATGATGGCCGCCGAGGCCCTGCGCGGCCAGATGACCACCGGAACCCTTGGCTTTTCGGCCACATAGTTAATTTTCCCGCACTCGATTCCCTGTCCCAGAGGAGGCGCCGACATGCCATTCCAAGAAACCATGACCCCCCGTGAACGGGTGATGAATGCCCTGACCGGTAAGCCCGTTGACCGCACGCCGGTTTCCAATCCCACCAATGTGGCGACGGTGGAGTTGATGGACATGATGGACGCGCCGTTTCCCGAGGCGTGCCGCGACCCGGAACTGGCGGCTCGCCTGGCGGCGACCGGCTACACGGAATTGGGCTTCGACTCCATCATGCCGTATTTCACCATCATCCAGGAGTCGTCGGCCCTTGGTTGCGAGATGCAGTGGGAGGAGAAGGACAACTGGCCCACCGTGCGCATGAGCAATCCCGTCTGGAAGGGTCTGGACGATATTCGCGTGCCCGCCGGATTTCTGAACCACCGTGACAACGTCGCCATCACGGGATCGCTTCGCATGCTCAAGCAGGAATTCGGCGACGAGGTGGCCATCATCGGCAAGACCATGGGGCCGTGGACGCTGGCCTACCACGTGTTTGGAGTCGAGCATTTTTTGCTGATGACCGTTGACGATCCGGACGCGACCATGCTCTGCCTGCACAAGTTGAAAGAAATATCGGTGCTGTTCGGGGAGGCGCAAATCGAAGCCGGCGCCGACGCGCTGACCTTTCCCGATCACGCCACCGGCGACTTGGTCAGCGGTGAGTATTACGAACGCTTCCTGCTGGAGCTTCACCAGGAAATGGTCGAGCGCCTGAAAGTACCGCTGATCCTGCACATCTGCGGCAACACGCTGGATCGCATGGACTACATCGCCCGCACCGGCATGGCGGCCTTTCACTTCGATTCCAAGAACGACCCGCAGCAGGCGATGGACATCGTCGATGGCCGCATCGCCCTGGTGGGCAACATCAACAATCCCGAAACGCTTTACGCCCGCGGACCCGAGGAGGTGCGCCAGGAGGTCTATCGCTGCCTGGACGCCGGGGTAAACCTGATTGCCCCCGAGTGCGCCATCCCCCTGGCCACCAAGCTGGAAAACCTGCTGGAGATCCCGAAGGCCGTGCGGGATTGGACACATGAGCACGCTGCCTGAGGACGCCGGGTAGAACGCCAACGTTCCCCCTGATACAATCGCCGCGTCGGTTCCTATACACCCCAAGGTGGGATTTGCGCCAAGGAGCATGAGGCATGCAGATACATAACCAAGGCTTGGAGAAGGAATTCGCCCACGTCGCCAAGCCGGCAGAAATCAATCACATCCAGAGCCTGTTCGAGAAATCGGCCCCCATCATGCACGACATCGCCTACAACCTGATCACCGGTAAGCACAACGAGGTAAACCGGCTGACCAAGCAGGCGCTGGACGATGGGTTCCAAGCCAACACCATCCTGGACGATGGCCTCATTGCCGGGATGGCCATCGTGGGCATCAAATTCCGCGACAACATCATCTTTGTACCCGAAGTGCTGGTGGCGGCGCGCGCCATGAAGGCCGGTATGACCCATCTCGAGCCAATCCTGTCGGCGTCGGGCATCGAGCCGATGGGCACGATCATCATGGGCACGGTCAAGGGTGACCTGCACGACATCGGCAAGAATCTCTGCATCATGATGCTGCGCGGCTCCGGATTTGTGGTTCACGACCTGGGGGTGGACACCAAGCCCGATGAGTTCATCGATGCCGTCATGGAGCACGGCGCCGAAATCCTCGGCATGTCGGCGTTGCTGACCACCACCATGCCGAATATGGGCAAGACGATCGAGGCTTTCGAGGAAGCAGGGCTCCGCGACACGGTGAAAATCATGCTGGGCGGCGCGCCGCTGACGCAGGAATTCGCCGACGACATGGGGGCCGACGCCTACGGCGGCAACGCCATTGCGTGCGTCGATCTCGCCAAGGCATTCATCGCCGAAGGGGCCATGCCGGAAGCTTCATAGACAGCCCCGGTCGGAGAACGCCATGACACAGCAGATAGACAAAGCGCAGTACCGCGCGAGCCTGGCCCGTCTGGAAGCGATCTTCCGGGACATGTCGAACACCGCCAGCGAGGTGTCAACCTGGCGCTGCCCGTACAAGAACGCCGAGGACCGCTGCACCGCCGGCTTCGGCTGCCGCAACCAAGACCGCAGCGTCGCAAAAGGCGAACTGTTCATCTGCCTGAGCGATGACAAACTCGACTACCGGAGTGCCTGGGAAACGTAGGCAAAGTCTGAATCACCCCATACCATGAAAATGTCCTGCCCCACTACCCCCAAACCGCCATCCCGGCGCCAGCCGGATTCCAGTGATGCCGCTCAGGGCTGGGTGCCGGCGCCTGTCCCGCACTTGGTCCAGGAGCAAACCTGGCTTGGCGTGCAGGCGGACTTAACAGACCTTCCATAGGAAGACGCCTGCATGGCACCCATGTACCACGACTCCCACCGGCTCGACGCCGTTGCCGGCAAGTCCGTTTTCGACTACGCCGACACCTTGAAAGTCCGCGTGCCCACCTCGTGCGGCAGAACCGGTCAGTGCCACGAGTGCATTGTCGAAATCAAACGCGGCATGCCAGCGCTCAATTCCCCGACCCAGGCGGAAAGCTTCCTGCGCCAGCCGTACCGCCTTGCCTGCCAAGCCTTGATCGCCGAGCCCGATGCCGATATCGAATTTGCCGTGTTACGGCGCCAGCCGAAGATTCTGACGCATGGCATCCGCCGCCAAGTGCCGTTGGTGCCACTGACCATTCGCAGGGGCGACAGCGTGTATTTCGGTGACGAACGCCTCGACGACTACCGGGGCCAAGTCTGCGGGTTGGCGGTGGACCTCGGCACCACGACGGTCGCGCTGAATCTGGTCGACCTGGAAAGCGGCGACATTCTGTACACGGGCTCGTTCGAAAACCCGCAACGCTTTGGCGGCAGCGACATCATGCACCGCATATCCTACGACGGCGGGCCGTTCCGGGGTGAGTTGCAACAGGCCATCTTGTCCGGTATCAACTTTGAGATACGGGATATGTGCCGGCGCCTCAAGGTGCGAGCGCGGCGAATTTACGAGGTGGTCATCGTTGGCAATGCCACCATGCGCGACCTGTTCTTCGGGTTCGACGTCCAGCCGATCGGCGAAAAGCCCTACAAGTCCATCACCGAGCTGGAGATGCTGTCGGGGCAACGAGCGACCACCGCGCTGAACGTCAAAGCCAAGGAGCTGGGGCTACGGATTTTTCCGCGCGCCAACGTCTACGGTGGGCCACTCATCAGTTCACACGTTGGCGCTGACGTGCGGCCGACTTGCTCGCCGTGGGGCTGGACGAGGAAGACGACGTTGTCCTGCTGGTGGACGTCGGCACCAATACGGAGGTCGTCGTCGGCAACCGCCACCGCATGATCGCGGCGTCGTGCCCGGCGGGTCCGGCTTTCGAGGGCGGAGAGGTAACGTACGGCATGCCCGGTTACGACGGCGCCGTGGAGTCCGTCACCATCGGCGACGATGGCGTCACTTGCAAGACGATTGGCGGAGCACCGGCACAGGGCATTTGCGGCTCCGGCCTCGTCGATTTGCTGGCAGAACTACGGCGCTGCGGCAAAATGAACGAACTCGGCGCTTATGAGAACGGCGAAGGCGCTTTCGTCTTCGCGCCGGAGAGCGGCATGACGCTGTCACGCGCCGATATCAGCGCCCTGGCACAGGCCAAGTCGGCCAATTTCTCGGGCCAGTACATCGCCCTGCGGCGCTACGGCGTGCCGCTTGGCGAAATCCGCAAGCTGTACCTGGCAGGCGGTTTCGCCAACTACGTCAACGTCGGGAACGCCATCAACATCGGCTTCATTGCCAACATGCCCGCCGAGCGCATCCTCAAAGTCGGCAACGCGTCACTGGAAGGCGCGACCCTTATGCTGATCAACAGCAACCTACGGCAACGCATGGAGGAGTTGGCGCCCCGGATCGAGCATGTCGAGCTGGAGACCACCCCGGATTTCTTCGACATCTTTGTCGAGGGTTGTATGTTTAACCCTATGGGCGAGCCGCTTGGTCCGTAGAACTCATCCGGTGCGAAACGCCCGCCGCAGCCATATTGTTAGCCGCACTCTGGCAATGGAGGCTTACCGACGTGTACGAGATCACTCTCGAAAACTTCCGGTGCTTCCGCAATAGACAGACCGCCCGCTTGGCGCCCTTAACCTTGCTCGTGGGTGAAAACAGCACCGGCAAAACATCCTTTCTGGCCATAATCCGGGCACTCGTGGACGTAGCTCTCGGCTTTCGGAATCCAGACTTTAAGGAAGAACCCTATGATTTGGGAAGCTTTGATGAAATTACCCATCGCCGAGGCGCCAGTGGAGGTAGGGCTAAGACGTTTGAAGCAGGGTTTCGCGTCATAGGACCCAAAGGGCAGACCGTTGATGGCATGACTCGCCATTTTAGTGTCACGTTTGGGAAAAGAGGCACGGCACCAGTTCCGGTGCGAAGATGTTTCTCAATGGGGAGCACTTGGGCCGATGAATGCTTCGAAACAGGCCAGCCTTATATCCTTCGGATTGGGACTTACAGGGGAAGTTGGGAGAAAAAAGTGCCAACTGATGCCGCTGCCGGATTCGACCTTGATGACGACCTATTGGCACCTCTCATTCACACCTTAAGGTCTTCGTTTTCGAAGGACGAGCAAAAACAAGACAGGAAATTCATACCAATGTCAGGATCTCCGGCCTTTAACTCGGAGGATGAGAAACTGATCTACGGTCTGCTTGTTAACGAATTTTGGTCTCTTGCACCACTCTTGTTCGCGAGTGCACCAGTGCGTACAAAACCGCGTCGTACCTATGACCCTTCTCGACTCACATCGGACCCGGAAGGCAACTACGTCCCCATGTTGCTTGCCAACACATATTTTCAGGAACGGGACAAATGGCGGGAACTCAAGCAACGGTTGGAAGACTTCGGAAAAGCGGCTGGTCTCTTCGATGAAATCTCCATCCGGCCACTGGGCAAGAGAGACAGTGAGCCCTTCCAGTTGCAGGTGAGAAGATTTGGGGCCCGCCTGAAAGGGCCTCAACGCAATCTCATTGACGTGGGCTATGGCGTCAGTCAGGTGCTCCCGGTGATTACCGAGTTGCTGCGCCCAGACGCACCATTCTTGTTTTTGTTGCAGCAGCCGGAGATACACCTGCATCCGAGTGCGCAAGCCGCTCTTGGAAGCTTGTTCTGTCATGTGGCTGGATCGGAACGGCTACTAGTTGTCGAAACACACAGCGACCACCTTATCGACCGGGTGCGTATGGACGTCCGGGACAAGACAACCACACTGAGACCTGAGGACGTATCCATTCTCTACTTTGAACGTGGCGATCTGGACGTTCGGATTCACTCGCTCCGAATCGACGAAGAGGGAAACATCTTGGGCGCCCCTGACGGCTACCGACAATTCTTTATGGAAGAAACCAACCGTTCGATTGGCCTGTAGTCATGTGCGCTATCCTTGACAATGACGTCGCGTATCAAGTGTTCGGACGAGACCGGCCCCCGGCCGGGGTGGCGTTCCGCAGGTGGATTGACTCGCGAAGAGGTCAGTTGGTCGTCGGGGGTCAGTTGCGCGTAGAACTTGGAAGGAACCATGCGTTCCGGCTCTGGTTGCAGCAGGCGCTGCTTCAGGGCAGGGCGAGAAGCGTCAACGACCGGGAAGTGGACAAGCGGACGGCGACTCTCAGAAATGCGGGCGTATGTCGATCTAACGACCCGCACATCGTGGCATTGGCGCAACTCAGCAACGCTCGCCTGCTGTATTCCAACGATGATGACCTGAGACACGATTTCGGGGACAAACAACTCATCGACCGGCCCAGAGGAAAGGTTTATTCGACGAAGCAGAGCAACGATTTCCAGGAAAGTCACAGACGGCTTCTGAATCAAAGAAGGCTATGTGTGCGGTGAAGGAGAACCCATGGCTTACAAGGTATTAGTGACGGATTACGTGTGGCCCTCCGTAGAGCCAGAAAAGGCGGTGCTGGCTCAGATCGGGGCCGAGCTCGTGGTGGCGCCGGACGGCAGCGAGGCCACCCTTGCCGAATTCGCGAGGGACGTTGACGGCATTCTGACGTGCTTCGCGCAGGTTACCGATACCGTCCTGCGAGCGGCGGAGAAATGCGTCGTGGTTGGACGCTACGGGGTTGGGGTAGACAACATCGCGGTGGACACGGCAACGGAACTGGGCATGGCGGTTACCTACGTGCCGGACTACTGCGTCGAGGAGGTCTCCGATCACGTCATGGGGCTGCTGATGACCTGGAACCGGCGCATTGCGTATTTCGACCGGCTGGTCAAAACCTCCGGCTGGGGCAGCCTGTCTCTGACCATACCGATCTGAGGCTGCGCGGCAAGAAGCTGGGCATCGTCGGTTTTGGCCGCATCGGCCAGGTCGTGTGCCGGAAGGCGCTGGCCTTTGGCTTCGAGATCCTGGCCTGCGACCCGTTCGTGCCCGCCGAAACAGCGACGAAGCTCGGCGGCAAAATGGTGGATATGCCAACGCTGTTGAAGGAATCCGACTTCGTGACCCTGCACTCGCCGCTGATCCCCGAGACGAGAAACATGATCGGCGCGGCCGAACTCGCCTCATGAAGCCGACGGCGTTCCTCATCAACTGCGCGCGCGGCCCATTGATCGACGAGGACGCCTGTACGACGCCCTGACAAACAACCGCATCGGCGGGGCCGGATTGGACGTGCTGGTCGAAGCGCACCCGGCCCCCTGACCACCCGTTGCTGCGGCTTGAGAATGCCATCATCACGCCGCACGTGGCGTTTTTCTCGGAAGAAGCGGTGACTGGAACTGGAGGAACGCGCGGCAGGGGAAGTCGCCGCGGTCTTGCAAGGCAGGATGCCCGAGAATCTGGTGAACAAGGACGTGCTTGCCCACCCCAACCCGAGGCACCAACTGCCCAGAGGCTAGCACCCTTGGGCAGTTGGTCAATCAAGATGCGAACACTCGGAACCAACAACGTGCTCAGGCAAGATCGTACAACTTGATCACGTTTTCGCAGGTAATCTTGCGCTGCACGCTGGCCGACACGTCGCTGAGGTTGACCTCAAGGTGATGCCGTGAATCGGGCCAGATGCAGTCCGGATGCGGGTAGTCCGCGCCCCAGATGATGTTGTCCTCACCCACCAGCGGAATGATCGTCGAGATGAACTCATCCTGCTGGTACGTGGTATACCCGTTGCGCCGGAAGTAGTCGCTCGGCTTCATCGAGAAGCCCAGCTCGCGGGCGCGGTCCTCATACTCGGTATCAAGGCGATCGAGGACGTAGGGTATCCAGGTGACGCCGGACTCGCCGAGGATGAACTTGAGATTGGGGTACTTCTCGCAAGCCCCTGAAATGATCAGGGCCACGAGGACTTCCATCCCGTCCAATTGGAAAAGCGCCGAGCGCAACAGACGCCATTCGATCGCGTATTCCTCCTCCATCCCCGGCGTGTCAGGCGCCCGCAGACCCTTGAAACCAGTGGAGTGGAAGGAGATGGGGAAGTTGCACTCGGCAGCAGCTTCCCATACGTGGTACCAATCGTGATGCCACAGGGGCACGCTCATCCGTTTGACGGGCAGGTCGCCGCCCTTCAGGCCCATCTTAGCGCAGCGGCGGATTTCCGCCGCACCTTCCTGCGGATCGTTGTTCGGGATGACGGCCAGTGGGAAGACACGATTCGGGTCGGAGCGCTTGGCGAAGTCGGCTACCCAGTCGTTATACCGCCGGTATGCCCAGGCGCGGCGGTCGCCGTCGGGGATAAGATCGTTGACCAACAGGCAGCCATAGACGATTTCCGCGTCGACGCCGTCCCGGTCCAGGTCTTCGAGCCGCAATTCCGGCGTGGTCGGGCGCGGGCTGGCTTCCCAATCATGGCCCCACCCAAAACCCAGGTCCTTCATGGTATCGATGCGAGCGAACATACCCTTCTGGTACTTTAGAAAACCGGGTCCGACACCGTTCCACATGCCCTTGTCCTGGCCTTCCACAAACCAGTGCAGGCCGTCGTCCAATTCCTCCACCCGCGGAACGAGTAGTCTCCACTTGGCCGGCGCATCGGCCGACCACAAATCGGGTGGACAATAGGTCAAGTCAATATGGTTGTCGCCGGAAATAAGGTTGTACTGCAAAACGCTCTCCTTACGCGTGAGGTGTTCATCTGCCCGGTCAGGATATCGAGACCGGATCATGAGCCGCGCTGCCATGCCCTCAGGGATCAGCTTGAGGTAAAGCAATTCTACACGCATTGCATTCCACAGGTCTAGCAAGGCGGCGAGCCGCTATGTATATTGGGGCGGCGTGGCAACAGATTGAAAACGTCCCGTCTTCCATCAATAAATCATTCGCCAACCTTAAACAGTCAACAGATAGTGAGCACCCAACTATGCGTTTGATCCTGATCGGTCCGCCGGGAGCGGGCAAGGGAACCCAAGCCGAATACCTGGTAGAACGATTCCAGATTCCGCACATTTCGAGCGGCGACATGCTGCGAGCCGCGGTGGCCGCCGGCACGGCGTTGGGCAAGCAGGCGGACGGCTTCATGAAGGCCGGCCAACTGGTGCCCGACGAATTGGTCATTGCGTTGATCATTGAGCGCACGGCGCAGCCGGACTGCGCCAAGGGGTTCATCCTCGACGGCTTTCCACGCACCCGACCGCAGGCCGAAGCACTGGCCGTCGATCTGGAAAAGGCCGCCGTGGCCCTCGACGCCGTGGTGTTGATCGAGGTGCCGGACGGCCGCATTCTGGAGCGCGTCACCGGCCGGCGCATGGACCCCGAGACCGGTGACATCTACCACGTCCAGTTCAGGCCGCCACCCGCAGACATCGCCGGTCGCGTCGTGCAACGCAAGGACGATACCGAGTCAGCCTGCACAGCCCGCCTAGAGAAGTACCACGCCGAAACGGCACCCATCATCCCGTTCTACAGCGATCAGGGGTTGCTAAAGCGCATCGACGGCGACACCGCGCCGGAGATCGTGACGGCCCGCATCGCGGCAACACTGAATGAAACAACGTCGTAAAGCTTACACGTCTATGTCAGCGCCTGCGGATTGACCGGGGAGAGGGGACGACGCCCCTGAAGGACGGCGGCGATCTCGCGCCCTGCCCGCCGACGCGCCTCGGGCATCATGCGCGAGGAGGCCGAGGCCACGTGTGCCGACAGGATGACGTTGTCCATTTTGAGCAGCGGGTTATCGGTGCTCACAGGCTCTTGTTCGAACACGTCAAGGCCGGCTCCGGCAATCCATCCTTCCTGAAGCGCCTTGATCAGGGCCTTTTCGTCTACCGTCGGACCTCGACCGGTGCTGATGAAAATCGCCGTCGGCTTCATGGCGTGAAAATGCGGCTCCGTAAACATAGCCTGCGTGGCAGGGGACAGCGGCACGTGCATGGAGACAAAGTCAGCGGTTTGCAGTAACTCTTGCAGACTGCCCTGTGACGCCGACCTCGTATTGCTGCATGACGTGCTCGTGAATGAAAGGGTCGAAGGCGATGACGTGCAGGCCGAAAGCCTTGGCACGCTTGGTAATCAGCCGCGGGATATTGCCGAAGGAGATGAAGCCCAGGGTCTGTCCCTGCAGGCGCGCGTGCTTGGATAGCTCCTCGCGGCCGTCGCCCCAACGGCCCTCGCGCACGATACGGTCCTGCGTGATGAGACGCCGCCAGCAGGCGAGCAGCAGGGTCATGGCGTGGTCGGCGACTTCTTCGATGAACACGTCCGGTACATTGGTGACGACAATGCCCGCCCGTGTGGCGGCGGGGACGTCCACGTAGTCGAAGCCGACGCCGGAACCCGCGATGACCTTGCATTTTTCCAGCGCTGCCAGGGTTTTCGGCGTCAGGCGCACGCCGCGGCCAATGATGGCATCGGCGTCCTTGGCTTGGGCGATAAACGCGTCCTCGTCGGAGGCGTCCAACACGACGATTTCTGCGCCGATGGGTTCCAGAGCCTCGCGTTCCATCTCGTAATTTATCCCGCCGAGATCCGCCAAGGGTCCCGACATCTTCCCGGTAACGACTTTGAACGTTGCCACCCATACCTCCCCGATTCAGGATTCTTTGCCTTGTTGTGAGATGCTTACGACCGACCATGTTGGCCGTGCGACGTGGCGGCCGATGGGCGTTCAGAATAGGAAGTACACAGGCATTTTGCAAACGAGCCGGAGCCCGAAAGACCGCATGCTATACTGCCGCGCCTCATCCACCACGACCTTATCCAAGTCCAAGCCACCATCCCGCTGGGTCAAAGCGAAAGGAGCCGTAATCCATGAGTATCAAGTTGGGCGTGCACGCAGGACCGCAAGACTTGCCGATGGACGACCTGAAGCGACTGTGGAAACAGGCCGACGAGGCCGGATTTCATTGGATTTCCGTGTGGGATCATTTTTACGCCAACCCGCTCCAGAGCCGTGACAACATGTGCTTCGAAGCCGTCGCCGCGATGGCGACGTTGGCGGCTCGTGACGTCCCGGGCGCGCGTCGGCTGCCTGGTGTTCTGCACCTTGTTTCGCAATCCGGGTCTGCTCGCAAAGGCGGCCATTACGGTCGATCACATCAGCGGCGGGCGCTGCGAGCTGGGCCTGGGTGGGGGCTGGTTCGAGGAAGAGTTTCGCGAGTTCGGCTACGGTTTCCCACCCATCAAGGAGCGGCTGGACCAGATGGAAGAGGCGGTCCAGATTATCAAGTCGCTGTTCGAGGAACCCGTGACCCATTTCGCGGGGAAATACTACAACCTGCAGGGCGCCGTCTGCGCGCCGAAACCCTGTCAACGGCAAGCTGCCTATCTGGATCGGCGGGCGCGGTCCCAAACGCACGCCACGCATGGCCGCTCAATACGCCGACGGGTTCAACCTGCCTTACGTGTCACCGGCAGAGTTTCGTCAACGGATGGAACAGTTGGAGATCGCCTGCGACAAACTGGGCCGGGACCCCGCCGGCATCACGCGCAGCGTCAATCTGCATTTTCTCATGGCTGCCGACGCGGCCGGTGCCGAAAAGGCGAGAGAACGACTGGAAAAAATGGCCCCTGACCGCCGTCAGGGTGCGCTTACCGGCACGGCACAGGAAGTCATTGATCGCATCGGGGAATACATGGAGGCGGGCGCCGAGGGATTGAACATCGCCTTCCGTGCGCCCATTGATTGGGAGGCGTTCGAGGCTTACATCGAAACGTCTTGCCGGTCTTTCATCGACCCTGTAAACGAAACCGCCGGGGCCGGCGCAAAACGTTCCAGCCAACCCCGGACGGGAAATGAGGGCATATCTACGGCCGCTACAGGCCCTTGAGCACGTTCAAGAGCTCGTCGTTGGGAACGAGTTGCGGAGTAGGCGTGGTCTTGTTGTAGCGCACCACGCCCTCCTTGTCGATGATCATGAAAGCCCGCTGGTTGCGCCGGTAAATGACCGGCCCGAAGCCCTCTTGCTCGAGAAGGGCAGGGGTCATCGAAAAGGGTGCCATAGGCCTTCGACATGCTGCGGAACATGTCGCTCAACAGGGGATAGGTGAGACCGAGCTTTTCGGCCCATGCTTTGTTGGCATCGTTGAAATCGACGCTGATACCCAGTACCTGGGCATTGGCGGCCTCGAACTTGGGCAAGTCAAGTTCGAAGGCCAGCGCTTCCTGCGTTCAAACGCCGGTAAAGGCGCCAACGTAGAAGAAAATGACCAGGTGCTTCTGGCCGATAAAGTCGGACAGCTTCACCTCATCGGCGGTGGTCGACGGCAGGGCGAAGTCGGGCGCCTTCTCCCCGACCTGGAGGGCCGAGGCAGAACTAAGGGCGCCGCAGACCAGCACTGCGGCAAACAGCAGGGCAGCTGCGAACCGCCCGTGCCGTTGGATTACCTGCATAAAAAGTCTCCTTGTGTAACGTTAGCTACGCGGCTGGGCCGCCAGATCGGCAAGGTACTGCCGGAATGAGCCGCTGTCGAGGTCGAAAGGCCCGGAGCACCGGCAACGACCACGCCCTCGCGGTTGATCACGAGCGTATACGGAACGCTCCCGAGCGCCAAGCGCACGGGCCACCGTCATTTTCTGATCGACCAGCGTGGGGAAGGTGTATGCATGCCTGGCAAGGTAGGACTGCACTGTCGGCACACCGCCACCGTCAAGGGAGATCGCGACTACGGCAACATCTTCATTCGGGAAGGCTTCGTGTACCCTCTGCACGGAGGGCATCTCGCTGCGGCAGATCCCTCACCAAGTGGCCCAGAACCGTGCAACCACCACCTTGCCTTGCAGGCCGGCGGCACGAACGAGGTTGCCATCGGGGTCGGGAAGCTCGAAGGCGGGGAGGGTTACAGTTTCACCCGGAGCCTGCATGCCCTGAGGAAGGGCGAGGCCGTCTGCCGCATCCGCGTGCATGGGATACAGCGCCAAAACGGTTGCCGCGATCAGGCCGAGCCAAACCCAGGCGCGTCCTGCTCGTCTAAGTCCAGACATGGTTCTACCTCCTTTGCGGAGTTTCGTATTGGAATCATACGTCTGCAAGCCGGTAAACGACTGCGCGCGGCATTGCACCAGACAAAACGGCAAAGCAGCGGCACAACTTACCCTCAGCCGCGCAGAAAGTCCAGCAGGCCGGCGGCGGATTCGTGAGAAAACCGCAGGCAAGCCACAAAGATGGCGACGACGGCGAAACCCAGCAGAACCGTGATGTCTACGGCCACCGGGAAGTCGGGACCGAGGGGTGGGGCAAGGCCGCTGACGAGGGCGTGCTTGAGCAGATCGACCCCGTAGGTGAACGGATTCACGGCGGCAACGATCTTCAGGATATCGGGCAACTGTTGTACCGGGTACAGAGCGCCGCTCAGGAAAAAAACGGGGAAAATGACGAAGTTCATAATGACGGCGAAATTGTCCAGGGTGGAACTCCACACCGCAATCAGCATCCCCAGGCTGGCGCAGGCCAGCGCCGTGGCGAACAAGCCGAGCACCAGCAGCGGCAGCGACACGTTGCCCGCAATGTATCCCATCAGGGCCAACAGGACGGCGAAGGCTCCCGCTTGTACAACGGCCACCACCATGCCGCTGACCGTTTTGGCGATGACCACCCAGTAATGGGGCAGGGGAGAAATAATCAGCAGACGCATGATGCCGAACTCTTTGTCATACACCACGGACAACGAAACCAGCATGGCGGCGAACAGCATCACCATGCCGAGTAGTCCCGGCGACAGGAAGCGCTGGTAGCCGTCGGACGCCTCATCGCCCAGCAGGGTGCCGAACCCCGCGCCGATGACCAGCAGCCAGATGAGCGGCCGTACCAGGGCGCTCACCAGACGGCCGCGCTGGCGCACCATGCGCATTATCTCGCGTTCGATCAAAGCCCACACCGGTCGCCACATCAGATATCCAATCCCGAGTTCAGGGCCGGATCGTTTACCCACAGGAACACGTCGTTGAGGTTGGGCCGCCGCCAACGAACCGCCTGCACACTGTCGTTAATCTCAGCCTGCAATTCGGCGAACGAAAATTGTTCGTCAAGCACGCGAAAGCTCGCGGTCCCGCCTTCCTTGAGGCAGGGACCGAGGCGGGGGGACAAGAGCCCGGCGATCACGTCCAGGTCGGTGCCGTCGATTTCCAGCACGTAAGGACCGAACCGCCGGACCAGGGATTCGGGCGTCCCGGCGCCAATGATTCTACCCGAGGCCAAAAAAGTAACCTGATCGCACGCTTCGGCCTCTTCCAGATAGTGCGTGGTGAGGAAAACGGTCATGACTTCCTCACGACGCAACTGCTCGATGAAGCGCCAGATGCCGCGCCGGCTGGGAACGTCGAGCCCCAGGGTGGGTTCGTCAAGAAACAGGACACGAGGCCGGTGCAGCACGCCGCGGGCAATATCGAGCGCCCGCCGCATGCCACCGGAGAGCGTTGCGACCTTCATGTGGCGCCGTTCGCGCAGATTGAACAGTTCCAGCAATTCGTCGCTGCGCTGGCGAATGGTGGCACGGGACAGATTGCGCAGCATGCCTGCAAAACGAAGGTTTTCGTCAACCGTCAGGGTACGATCCAGCGCCGACTCCTGGAAGACCAAGCCGACCTCCCGGCGCACCGCGACGCTCTCCCTGAGGACGTCGTGCCCGGCCACGCTCGCCTGTCCTGCCGTGGGGCGGCGAGAGTAGTCAACATGTGGATGGTGGTGGTTTTGCCGGACCCATTGGGGCCGAGCAGGCCGAAGAATTGGCCTGCCGGGATGGCAAGCTGCAGGCGGTCAACTGCCTGCAGCTTGCCGTATGTCTTGCTCAGATCGGTCGTCTGGATGGCGAGTGGGACGTTGGACTGCGACAAGGCGTCGACCTGCATGTGAGTTAGGTCCCGTCGCGAGGGTCTGGCGACTGTTAAACGCCAGATTCGACAAACTGCCGCGAATTCTTGTTGCTGCGGAACATCGGAAGCTGACCGGCAGGCGGAACGACCTGGTCCTCGTCGATGGCATTGAGCACGACGTCGTGCTGCGGCGACAGGCTGCAAACGGGGTCCGCGTTGGCCGCGTCGCCCGTCAGCATGTAGGCTTGGCAGCGGCAGCCGCCAAAGTCCTTGGCGCGTTCCGGGCAGGTCCGACAGGGCTCCTTCATCCAGTCCTCGCCCCGAAAGGCATTGAAGGCTGGGGATTCGTGCCAGATCCAATGCAGGCTCGCGTCGCGCACGTTGGGGAAGTCCAGGCCCGGCAGTTGATGGGCTGCGTGGCAGGGCAGGGCACTGCCATCCGGCGCCACATTCAAGAACACGGAACCCCAGCCGGCCATGCACGGTTTGGGACGGTCCTCGAAGTAATCGGGCACCACATAGTAGACCTTCATGCGCCCCTTGAAGCGTTCCTGGTAGTCGTGGGCGATGGCTTCGGCGCGCTCCACCTGCTCGCGGGTCGGCAACAGTTGAGAACGGTTGACCTTCGCCCAACCGTAATACTGCGTGTTGGCCAACTCGACGTAATCGGCTTCCAACTCCTCGGCCATCTGCAGGATTTCCTCGGTCTGATCGATGTTCTGCCGATGCAGCACGACGTTCATCACCATCGGGTAATCGTAATGTTTGATCAACCGCGCCATGGCCAGCTTGCGCTCAAAGGTCTTGGCACCGCCGATGTAGTCGTTGACTTCCGGTGTATTGGCCTGGAAGCTCAACTGGATATGGTCCAGCCCGGCTTCCTTGAGAGCCGCGATGCGCGGCTCGTCCATGCCGATGCCGGAGGTGATCAGGTTGGAATAATAGCCAAGCCGTCGGGCTTCGCGAGCCAACTCGACGAGGTCCTTGCGAACCAGGGGCTCGCCGCCCGAGAAGCCGAGTTGCGTAGCGCCCATGGCGCGGCCTTCCTGAAGCACCCGCATCCATTCCTCGGTGGTCAGCTCATTCTGATACTTGGCGTAGTCTATGGGGTTGGAGCAATAAAGGCATTGCAGCGGACAGCGGTAGGTCAACTCCGCCAGCAGCCACAGGGGGTTAGTCTGCCCGTTCGATGCAGATCCAGCCGTTTGCATAAGCGTCCTCCAGAAACTCGCGCACGTCCGCGGCGATGTCGTCCTGCGGAAATGCCTGTTGCAGCTCCTCGACCACTTGAGTGACGGATTTGGCCTCCCGGCAGCGGGTCAGGATTTCTGCGGCCGGTCCGTTGAGGGTCACCATGCCCTCGGGATACAACAACACGTGGGCCTGCTGCGCCTCTTCCCACTGCATGCGAAAGTGGCGGGTAATACTGATAATGTCATCCGCCTTCAGGGCCTCCGGTTCTGCCATTTTGGCCTCCTTCGCCGCATCCGTTCCTCAACGCTCGGTCAGCGCGTATTTCTTGTGCGGCGGCAGGGTTTCTTGGGAAATATAGGCCATGTACATGGCGTCCAACATCGTCCACAACACGTCGAGCTTGAATTCCAAAATGTCCAGGGCCCGTTCCTGCTGGGCGCGCGTCTTGAAATAGTCCAGCGTGACCTGGAGTCCATGCTGCACGTCCCGGCGCGCCTCGGTCAGGCGCATGCGGAAATAGTCCAGACCCTCCGGGCCAATCCATGGGTAATGCTTGGGAAACGACTCGATACGCGAAGCGTGCGCGTCCGGGGCGAAAAGCTCCGTCAGAGACGAGCACACCGCCTCCTGCCAAGGGCGCGAACGGGCAAAATTGCGATAGGCGTCAACCGCGAAGCGCACACCCGGCAGGACATGCTCCTCACTACGAACTTCCTCACGCGTCAAACCACAGGCAACCCCCAGCCGCAGCCAGGCTTCGATGCCCCCTGCGTCGCCGTCGGTGCCGTCCTGATCGAGCATGCGCAGAATCCACTCGCGCCGCACCTCCCGGTCCGGGCAGTTGGCCATGACCGCGGCGTCTTTCAACGGAATGTTTTTCTGATAATAAAACCGGTTGGCCACCCAACCCTGCATTTGCGAACGGGTCAATTTGCCCTCGGTCATCATGATCTGGAAGGGATGGTAGACGTGGTACGAGGTTCCCTTCTCCTTCAGCTTCTCGTGAAATTCCTCACGACTCCAGGGGGCCGTTTCGGAAGCAGACATACCGGAACTCCTTCGTTTCGTGGCACGTTTACAGGGTAATGTCCATCCCATCGTGGGCAACTTCAACGCCCGCCTTGGCGACAATAGCGCGCTCCGGAGACTCCTCGTCGAGTATCGGATTCGAATTGTTGATGTGAATCAGAATTTTGCGCGGGCGCTGTAACGAAGCGAGGACACTCAACATGCCATCGTCGCCCGATTGCGGCAGGTGCCCCATGTCACTGGCGAGTTTTTTGCCCAGGCCGGCAATCACCATCTCGTCGTCGCGCCAGAAGGTTCCGTCCACCATCAGGCAATCCGCCTCCTTCATATAAGGAAGGATATGCGGCTCGATCTTGCCCAAGCCGGGCGCGTAGTACAGGTTCTTGCCGCTGCGCAGGTCTTCCACGCGCACGCTGATGTTGTCGCCAAGATGCGGGTCGTGGCGATGCGGAGAATAGGGCGGCGCTTTGCTGCTCAGGGGCACTGCGGTAAAGCGTAGGCCCTCGACGCCATCGATCATGAAATCCGCGCCGGCTTCCAGCGGCACCGAGTGCCAATTGACGCCGCAGTAATGGCCCAACACGTTGAAAAGGGGGTGTCCGGTGGTGAGGTCCTGGTGCACCATGTCGGTGCAGTAAATGTTGAGCGGCTGGCCTTCGCGCAGCACCAGCAGGCCGGTCGTATGGTCGATTTGGCTATCAATGAGGACGATGCCGACGATGCCCGTGTCGCGCAGAGACCGGGCCGGCTGCATGGCCGGAAAAGCCTCCAACTGGGTGCGGATGTCGGGGGAGGCGTTGAAGAGCACCCAATCGATGCCGTCGCTGCTGACGGCGATGGAGGACTGCGTGCGGGCCGTGGCTTTGATATTCCCCTGACGCAACCGACTACAATTCGAGCAATTGCAATTCCATTGCGGGAATCCGCCGCCGGCAGCCGATCCAAGGACGTGTATCCGCATCATTCCTCCGTAAACCTAAAATCGTAATGTATAGGGGCGCGTGCCGTTGCATGAGCCTGGTGCCGGACCGCGCAAATACTAACGGCGGCTCAAAATCGTGTCAACACGCCGCCGCATCGGCTTGTTGCAAGAAAGAACGCATTCAATCGCCTTCATGCATACGGCGCCACAGGATCGCCGCCAGACGGGGCACGACGTCCCTCATGTTGCCTCTGAATTGCAGGGTCTCGGCATGCCGAATCGTTGTAGTCGGGACGTCGACAAGCTGCGCGGACACGAACCAAATGAGGGCGCTGACCTTGGTGACCTGTCCCCAAATGACCCGCTGCACCCCCAGAACGCGCCCCATGCGCAGGGCACAGTCAGCGTCGGCGCAGGGCGAATCGGAAACCACCCCGCGGCCATCGACAAGCGCATGGTGTTCACTCTGAGAAGCCAGCCGACGCAGGCTTTGGCTGGCCAATTGGGCGGGCAAAAGGTCGTAGGCGGTGTCGTCCGGGTTGGCAATGTCGAGGTTGAGCGAGAATTCCAGCACTGCGAGCGTGACCGGTGTCGAAGGGCTGTCTGCCCAGAGCCACGAGGTCAGACAGACTTGGACGAGGAACCCCGCGGCTATCATGAGCGGTTTGAAGGCGGGAATCATGCCCGTCATTGCTCGTCGGGCCTGCCGGGTTTCAAGCGTCCGGTGCTGCGCTCCATCACATATTTGTAGATGTCTTCCATTTGCGATGCGTCCAACAACACGTTCCACGCCTGCATGCCTTTTTCGGGCCTGCCCTCGCGGATGACCTTAAGGAACTCGTCGTGCGGCAGAACCTTGATGGATTCCCGCAAATTGGGCGCGATCTGGCTGCCCACGGCGTCCATGCCGTGACAGCGGAAACAATAGACATGAAACCAGCGCCAACCGTTCATCACGGCTTCCGATACCTGCGAAGCGTCCTGAGCCTCGCCTTCCGGGAGGCCCTGAAAAGCACTCAGCAAAACGAACAGAATCGCTGACAGGATGATGGGGAAGGGGAAACGGCGGTATGAGACACGGTTCCGCCTACAAATCGAGGACCGCTGCAGCATGTTCACTCCCTGTCTTCACGTTCTCGAAATGCTACCCGTCATTGGCGCAGCGCCCGGGCATCCAGCGGTACGCCGTAGTGCTGTCAAGATGCGTCTTATTTCGTCTTTCTTGGCCTGTAGCACGGTCTCCAAGACGTCGCGAAGCTGCTCGTCGGTTTTTCTCACGCCCATCGACATTGCGAACACCTCGGATTCGCCTTCGCCTTTTCCCGCCAACACCGGGACTTCAATGGGTGCCAATCGTAGGGTTTCGAACTGCCGCTCGACAAATACCCGGCTGCCGGGCCCCACACGATGGCCACGTCGATGCGCCCGGAGGCGACGCCCTCGATAATTTTTCCGGGGTAGTTCGTCCGGCCGTCGTAGAACGTGCTGTAACCGACAACGTTATCAACAATGCCGCGGCGGCCGAGTACAAAGTCGATCGGGGAATTCCGGTAAATCCCGATGCGAAGCCGCTCGAGGAGAGGGCCATCGAGGGAAGCGATCTGCAGGTCGTCCTGGCGTCGGGAAACAACGACGAAAGGCGACGAATAGTAGGCGCTCGTCGTGAGCACCATCGGGTGCCCGGCCGGGATGCCGATGACCACAGTCGCACAGCCTGGCGATTCAGCGTACCGCGCAGGAAGCCGCGCCGTTGCGGCCACCACGTGTAGGTACGGGGAATCCCAATTCCGCCGCCACCAGGGCAGCGATGCGGTTTTCGAAACCTTCTTCCTGCCGATTCGAGAACGGCAGGTTGTCCGGGTCCGCGCAAACGTGCAGGGCCTTTAGCTCCGCGCTCTGTGTGCCGGGAACGGTCACAGCGACCATCACCACGAGCCCTACCAACCACAGAAGCGGTTTTCGCCGGTGCATAAAGGCTCCTGCCCGTGCCGTCCAACAGAGTCTTCGGCCACCCGGCGGCGGGGGGCGCCATCACTGGCCTTCCCCCGCCGCCGTCCGACTGCGATGCGCAGGCGATTACAGTCCGAAGACGTACAACATGGCTCCCTTGGTGCTGTGCATCCCCGCGTCGCCAAAGGCGCCGAGAGCACCCAGCCCCGCGGTGGGATCCTCAGGTCCGATGTCCAGAGCCGCCGCGATGCCGGCCCAGCCGCCGACCCCCGAAATGACGGCCACGTACTGCTTGCCGTCGGGCGCCAGAAAAGTCATCGGGTTGGCGATGATGCCGGAGCCAGTCTTGAACCGCCACAACAACTCGCCGGTCTTGGCGTTCACGGCCTTCAGCCAGCCTTCCATGGTGCCATAGAAAACCACGTTGCCGGCGGTGGCCAACGCGCCGCCGTACGCCGCCAGATTCTCCTTGATGCCCCACTTTTTCTCCCCGGTGGTGGCATCCCAAGCGATGAACTCACCGCGGTTGCCGCCCGGTCCGGGATACATCCGCACTATCGCGCCGACGTACCATTGTCCGGCCTGGTATTTCACCGGCACACCTTCGTAATCCATGCAGATGTTATTGGTGGGAACATAGAACAGGCCGGTCTTCGGCGAAAAGGCCGCGGGTTGCTGATCCTTGGTGCCAATGGCCGCCGGACAAATGTCCTTGCTGTTACGGCCCGCCTGAGTACCTTTTTCGGCCACCCGAACGGGCAAGCCGGTTTCCAGGTCCACGCTGGTCGCCCAGTTGACGGCGCCGAACTTCTCCGCCACCAGCACCTCGCCGGTAGCGCGGTCAATCGTGTACCCGAAGCCGTTGCGATCAAAGTGCACCAAGACCTTGCGGGTCTCCCCGTTCATGCTCAAGTCGGCCAGGATGTTCTCGTTGACGCCGTCGTAATCCCACTCGTCGTGCGGCGTCATCTGATAGGCCCAGCGCGCCATGCCGGTGTCCGGATTACGCGCGAAGATGGTCATGGACCATTTATTGTCGCCGGGGCGCTGGGTCGGATTCCAGGCTCCGGGGTTGCCGGTGCTGTAATACAGCAGGTCGAGTTCGGGGTCGTAGGTGTACCAGCCCCAGGTGGTGCCGCCGCCGCGCGTCCACTCATCACCCTTCCAGGTGCTGACGCCGAGGTCGGCACCCTGATGGCTGGCGTAGGGCGAGCTGAAACCGTCGCCGATCAGCACGTCCGTATCCGGCCCGGCGCTGTAGGCGCGCCAGACCTGCTCGCCAGTGTTGATGTCGTTTGCGGTCACGAAGCCGCGCACGCCGAACTCACCACCGCTGATGCCCGTGATGACCTTGTCCTTGATCACCAACGGCGCGGCGGTAATGGTCATACCCTGACCCGGGTCGCCCTGCGTGACCTTCCAGATTTCCTTGCCCGTCGCGGCATCGATGGCGACGACGTTGGTGTCCAACTGCGCCAGGAATATCTTCCCACCGGCGTAGGCCAAGCCGCGGTATACCGTGTCGCAGCACGCCACCGCGGGCACGTTGGCATCCTGATTGGGCTTATAAGCCCACTTGATGGGGGCGCCGTCCCGGGTCAAGTCCAGCGCGTAGACGTTGTTCGGAAACCCGGTGTGCACGTACATCGTGGTACCGACCACCAGCGGGGCGCCTTCCTGCCCACGCAGCACGCCGAGCGAAAACGTCCATGACGCTTTCAGGTTCTTGACGTTACGGCTGGTGATTTGATTGAGGGTGCTGTAACGGTTGGCGGAATAATTCTTGCCGGGCAACGTCCACTGCCCGGCGTCCTCCTGCAGCATCAGAAGTTCATCGTTTGCCTGCGCCCAGAAAGGCAGCGCCAGCATGACTGCAACAACGATCCATAACGAGCGCCTGATCATCTTACCCTCCTTATATCAGTTGCCACTGGAATGCGAAGAACGGTCGTACCAAGGCTTGCGTTGGTAGCACCCTTTGGACTGGCGAGTCAAGGAAAATACGGTCCGGCTACCATGGCGGGAAGAACGCGCCGGCACGGGCAGGGGGGAGAGGGAAGCCGATTACGGTTACCGCTTCGGCTTGACGACGATGGTTCCGATCATCGGCGGATGCAGCCCACACACGTAGGGCAACTCACCCGGCGTGTCGAATCGAATCAGCGAGCTGCTCCTCGGCATCAGCGTGCCGGTGTTGAACGTCCGCGTTCTGGCAACGGCGCTGTGCTCGATCTCGTGGATGTTGACGAAGCGAATGCAGTCACCGGCCTCCAGAACCAGTTCCTTCGGCGTGAACACGTGCGTCATGATCACCTCGTGTATCTTGCCGCACTCCTGGGCCTCGGCCGGTACGGACAAACCAAAGCCGACGACCAGCAACAGCGGGAGGAATACTGCGCCGTGGCGACCGATGATTGCGCCCAAGCGTGTCATGAACGGTGACTCCTTCACATTCTTGTGACCCTTAGTGGTCGTGATTCCAAGGATCGTGCTTCACCTGCGGCGGCAACCAGACGGTTTCGTAGTCGCGCTGCAATTCCTTCTCGCGCGCCATTTCCTCGGTGTGGCTCATCTTGGCGTACTTCGCCTCGGTTGGGCTGGAGTAATTGCGCAGGTTCAGTCTGGCGGCAGACATCACCCGCCGCACCGAGCCGGAACACTTCGGGCAAGTCTGCAAGGGCTCGTCCTTCATCCCTTGCAACACTTGATAGATGACCAGGCACGGACTGCATTCATATTCATAGACAGGCATATCTGGGCTCCTGCCGAAAAGCCAAAGCAAAGGCCAGGCATGCGTGTTCCACATCCCTGGCCCGGTTTGTCCTACGCGGCTACGATCCTGGACGGTTCGGCCGGAGGCGTGTTAGAAGCGGTCTCGAGCCCCCAGATGCGGGCGGCGTTGGTGCCCAACACCTTGGCCTTGAGCTCATCCGTCAACTGCGGGTAACCGTACCCTTCGACCAACTCATCGGGGATACGGAAGCGCCGGAAGGCCTCGATCTGCCACTGCGGGTTGCCCCACAGCACGGAGTCGGTGCCCCACAGCACGGCATCCTGACCGAGGTCGCGCAGCAGGGTTCCGATCACGTGAGCGCAGTCCAGCGGACGGCTGGTGACGGTCGCGGCGAACGTCGATCCCAGCTCGCAGAACAGATTGTTGCGCTGCGGCTTGAAAGACTTCAGCGCCGCCAACTCGCCGTGATAGGGCCACGCGGAGTGGAACGCGATCCAGTTCATGTCCGTGAAATCATCGGCGACGGCATCGAAGTCCTCGGCGTGGGCGTAGCGCGCCATGAATTGCCCGAAGGGGATACCCTTGTGGCAGCCGATGTTTTTGATCCCGAGTTCACGGCACTTTTCCCAGATCGGATAGGCCAGCTTCACATCGTCGAACCACCAGCCGCGTTGCGGGGTGGAATCAAACGTGTAGAGCTTGAGGCCGGAAATCTGGTAGTCCTCGACGAACATCTGCAGCCGATCCAGGGTGTACTCCAGCCCCTGGTTGGGCGTCAGGCCGCCGCCCATCATGATGGTGCGGTTGGGCCAGCGGTTGCGAACCTCTACCTGCTCCTCGATGGGGATCATATCCTGGTCGCCGTAGTCCTCGCGGAAGCCGAACGGGTTGAAAATGCCCACCGTGGTGTCGCTTTCGTCAAGGATAAGCTTGCCGTAGTTCTCCACGGTCATGTCCTCGATGCCCTTCTCCAGGCCCATGGCCTTGCCCAGCCCGTCGAGGAGATTGACGAACCACATGCCCTTTTCGGACGTGTTCACGCCGGGCACAAAGCCGTCCTTGCGCCAGCAGATGTGGGTGTGCTGGTCGACGACGTAATTGAGGTGGGATTTCAGGAGGGCATTCTTCTCGTGCGCCGCCGCTTGTTCCACGGCCTCGGCCTCGGAAACGTCAAAGAAACGCATGCCGGTCGCCTGGTTCACGGCCAGCATCGCGCCCGTAAAGCCGCAGACCGTCTTCATGAAGCTGCGGCGCGGCATGTTGACCCGCTCCGCGAAGCTATCGAGCCGATCGCGAACGCGAGAGCCGAGATGCCCGCTGGAGAAGTAATTGGCTCCTTGCTCGTAGTGATTCGTAGGCTGATTGGACGTGATGCCCATGCCTTTGATGCTCCAATATATTGAACTCCATATCTGCCATCCTCCTTGCCGTGTCATAGATCGTGAGACGCAAAACGTATGACATCGCGTCAGGAACAACAGTAGCCATCGCGCTTCGAGCTGCTTTGGCGGGGCGTAGGATAGGGACAGTTTCAGGTAGTGTCAAATGCAATGATTGAGTGACGTTACGCAGCTCGCAACTCGTGAACCTATCTTGAAGTGTCTCTTCCTGGAAGTCGTCGCCAGGACGCCATCGTGCAGAGGCGTAGGCTCCGCCTGCACGTCATGCCGGACTTGACTCCGGAATGACCTTTGAGGCGTGGCACAGCCTATTTTCATAGCAATGACGAACGATGCCTCTTGTCTCAGCCGATCCCATCAATTCAACAGTGTTGGAACTGTTCCACAAGACATGACGACGTGGCGCGGCGAGACGCGGTTCCCTGCCCGTGACTCGGTGCGATGGGGTGTCATGATGCATCGGGAGAGACATTCTTAGACCAAATTAATTTATTGAAAAGAACATGAAATCAATACTTCGGACAGTTTTGACAAAGAGGTAGCCGCACGAGCCCTCCAATTCTAGAGTTGTGTTAGCCAACGCAACCAAGAATGGAGGTGCTCCGTGCGACTGCTTCAGAGTGTACTTGCGACCTTGCCCCAAACCAAGAAACCGCAACGAAAGTTCATTACCCATCTGCTGGGGCTTGTGCTGATGCTTCCCGGCCACGCCACGTTTCGTAATCTCAGCCGCTACAGTTCCTATCACGAACGTACGTTTGCGCGGTGGTATGGACGCCCGTTTGACTTTGTCGCACTCAACAAAGCAGCGATTACCCAGGTGATTGCGCCCGACCATCAGCAGGCCCTCGTTATCGACGCCAGCTTTATCCCCAAAAGCGGCACCCACACCTATGGCCTTGAACGCTTCTGGAACAGCCGCCAGCGGCGCAGTGAAAAAGGTCTGGAAGTCTCTGCTGTAGCCTGGCTCGACATCACCGACAGATGCGCCTATGGCCTCAGTGTCGAGCAGACACCCCCAAGCGACAAGACCTCGGAGCCACAAGGCACACGCATCGATGCCTATCTGGAGCAATTGCAGCGTGTGGTCTGTGACCATCACCTGGGTCATCTACGCTATGTGATAGCGGATGGCTATTACAGCAAACGTAAATTCCTCGATGGGGTTCGCGCCCTCGGACTGCACCAGATTGGCAAACTGCGCCGTGACGCCAATCTGCGCTATCTCTACCAAGGACTGGGACACCCAGGACCCGGGCGTCCCAAGACCTATGACGGCAAGGTCCAGTGGGACGACCTGTCACGCTTTGAACGGGTACAGAGTGAAGACGACGACGTGGTGCTCTACCATCAAGTCCTCAACCACGTTCATCTTCGGCGCAATCTGCGTGTCGTGCTCGTCGTGGATACCCGCACCCAGCGGCGGGCGGTGCTGTTCAGCACCGATACCGACTTGGATGCGCAGACGCTTTATCGTGGGTACAAAGCGCGCTTCCAGATCGAGTTTCTCTTCAGAGACGCCAAGCAGTTTACGTCTCTGAGTGCCTGTCAAGCGCGCTCCCAAGCCAAGCTGCATTTTCACTTCAATGCCAGTATGAGTGCTCTGACCCTGGGCAAGCTGGAAGCGCGACAGCAAAGCGGCGGTGCCCAGGCAGGGTTTTCCATGGCGAGTCTCAAACGGCGCGCCTTCAACCAACATCTGCTGGAGCGAATTTCTCGGCATTTAGCCCACGGGCATAGCCTGGAAAAATCCAGCCCCGATTACCAAGACCTTTGTAACTATGGCACCATCACTGACAGGGCGGCTTGAGGACTGTCCGAAGTATTTGTTAATAATTGTCTTCAAAAGATATTTGGATTTCAGATTTAGGTTTCGGTTATTATTCTCTCATTATTCTCTAGCTCGTCCGCTGGCGGCTTGGCTTACGGCTGCCGCTCAGGGGGGAACGTGGTGCGCTGGAGGGTCTAATTTGCATCACACGTTTCGTGTACGGGAAGGCTCCAGCAATTCCCCCTCTTGAAGGGGGGGGGCAGCCGGCAAAATACAAAAGCCTGGAAGTCCGCTCCCGAGCGCAGTCGAGAGTGGGCTTTTCACGGAGAGTAGTCCAATGAAAGCACACGGTAGCGGAGCTTCCGGGCAAGGACCGGAAGGCGGCAAGCGGCGCTTTTCTGCGAGGCACAAAGGTGCCGGGAACCTGTTGCGGTTTGCGAAACGGCGCACGGCGGCAGGCCGGGCACCGAGGCCATGACTGCCCCTGAGCCGCGGGAGCACGGAACCCCGCCATCGCCGCCTGACCGCCGCGGCGGCCACCCCTCCTCCCAGACTGCATCCGCCGCCGGCCGACCGGCCGCACTCGCGATCCTGTGCGGCGCGCGGCGCGCGCTCCTCCGTTCCGGGCAGGCACTGGCCGCCGCGGCGTGCCTCGCCCTGCTCGCCGCCCTTGTCCTGCCGGGCGCGACCCAGGCCGCCGATCTGGTGGGCAATCTCAGGCAGGATTCCCCGGGGTGCGCGGGAGAGGAGCTGCACGCTGAGCCCGGACGACATCTGGTGCGGGATCGTCACGGTCGCGGAGATTGACCTCGGATGGGGCTTGGCCTATGGCGTCAACCATGGCACGGGCGGCCTGGCACCCAGGGAGTTCACGGTCGGCACGACCCGCTACACGATCGACGGCGTCTATGTCGAAGCCAGCGGCAACCCCAAAGGGACCCTGACCTTCAGCTTGACGACCAGC